TGTGGTGGTGGATTCCTTCCTCGTTGGACTGTTAATCTCAAGGTCCACAGTTCAAAACCACCAGCCCTTCATGGGGCTTTCTAAACAAATAAAAAATTTCAGTGTGGGAAACTCACAAGAGCAGTTTTATCCTTTCTTACCAGGTTGTTGTGCATCAGCATCAACTCCATGACAGTGAGGAAATGGTTGAATAATGACACTGAAGAGACTAAATAAAGAAATCTCTCTCACTTTTTAAAATAGTTGTTCTTTCTTGCAACTTGAGGCCCAGACTGAACCACTGAGGGCTCTGCATTACATTTCAATTTCTGAGATACAGTTATATTTTACATCTTGTTTTTTACACTAGAGTACTGGAAAATAAAAATATAATCATTGGAGCTTGTGATTGTTTTTTCTTATTTTAACACAACACTAAAGTGAAACAACACAATCATTTTTCTGTTAAGTTAATACTTTCTTTACTGAGAGCTCCTTCGTCTCTCCACCACTTGTCTATGTTTGTCAGTGACTTATGTGGTACTATGATGCTAAAAGCTATATCACTGCTATTTCAAATGCCAGCGGAGTCCCCCAAAGTGAAAAAGGTTGAGTGAAGCTTCCAGACTAAGAAGACAACAAGGAAGCACTCAACAGAGGAAGTAGCCACTGAAAACCGCATGCATAGCTTCAAAATATTGTCAGACACTGGAGCCATGCTGAGTGGAAACAGAACGTTGTTGGAGAGAGCGCCCAGAGGATGGACCCCTCTGTTCAGAGGCACTCAAAATGTGATTGAGAAGGAGCTGCTTTCTCAGAATGGAGTCATCCATGGTATTGTGAATGGAGTAACGCCTGTGGGTGGAGCCATTGCGATCTTCATTTGCTGATTGACATGACTCAGGGTAAGAAACACTGCAAAACTCTGCTAATGATCAGAAGTTGGAATGTGCAAAGCATAAATCTAGGAAAATTGGAAATGCTCAAAAATGGAAGGGAACACAAAGATTGGTGTCCTCAGCATTAGTGAGTTGAAATGGACTACTATTGACCATTCGGATTGACAAAAACATCTGATTTACGGTACCAGCAACAACACAATCAAGAAGAATGGCATGGCATTCATCGTCATAAAGAACATTTCAAAATAAATCTTGGCGTAAAATACTGTCTGTGATAGGATTATATCTATTTGAATTCAAAGAAATCCAATCAATACACTTATTCAAATTTATGCATCAACCACAATAGCTAGTGGTGAGTAAATTGAAGCAGTCTACTGATGTATTCCGTTGGAAATTTATCACACATGCATTCACTATAGATCGATAATTTTTGGAGACTGGCATGCAAAAGTTGGAAACAGGAAGGAGCAGTAGTTGAAATATATGGACTTGGTAATAGAAATAAAGCAGAAGAATGATTGATAGTCTTTTTTAAAACCAACAACTCGTTCACAGCAAATACTTTTTTCAACAACACAAAAGGTAACTATATACATAATTTTTTCCAGATGGAATACACAGTAATGAAATTTGACTCCATCTGTGGGAACAGATATTGGAAACATTCATTATCAGCAGCTAAAACCAGGCCAGGGGTTGATTTTGGAAAACGCCATCAATTGCTCATATGTAAGTTCAGGATAAAACTAAATAAGATTGAAACAAATCTGAGTCAAAAATACAACCTTGAGTATCCCACATGAAGTTCAAGAACATCTCAAGAACAGATTTGGTGCACTGAATATTAATGACAGAGAAACTGATGAGCTGCGGGAGGAAATCAAGAACATCATTAAAATCGTGATCCTGTGGAACTTGTACATGGATGAAGAGGCGGCTGTGCAAACAAAATCAGATAATACTGCATGGTGTAATATCTGGAAAGGTGTGCAACAGTGCTGCGTCCTCTCAACATAATTATTCAATGTATATGCTGAGAAAATCATCAGAGAAACTAGATTATATCTTGAGGAAGAAGGTAGCATCATGATTAGAGGAAGGCTTATTAACAGCCTTCAATATGCAGATGACATGGCCTTGCTCGCTTGCACAGTGAGGAGGACTTGAAGCACTTGATCATGAAGATCAAGGACTGCAATCTTCAGTATGCATTAGGACTCAATGTCAAGAAGACCCAAAGTCTTAAAGGCTTGAAGGTAATCAAGCGGCCATCTAGCTCAGAAGCAACAAAGCCCACATGGAAGAAAGAAGCACACCAGCCTATGCAACCATGAGGTGTCGAAGGGATCAGGTGTAAGGCATCATCAGAACAAAAAATCTTACCATAGTGAATGATGGGGGGAGTGCGGAATGGAGATCCAAAGCCCATGAGTAGGCCACTGGAGATCCCCTTGCAGAGGGGACTCGGGGAGGAGATGAGCCAGTCAGGGTGCGATGTAACAATGATGAGAAATACAACCTTCCTCTAGTTCCTAAAGGTTTCCTCCGCGCTCCCACTACCATGACTCGAATTCTATCTTGCAAGACTGGCTAGACCAGAGGAGGTACACTGGTACAGATAGGAACTGAAAATACAGGGAATCCAGGACGGGTGAGCCCTATAGGACCAGTGGTGTGAGTGGCAAAACAGGGAGGGTAAAGGGAGAATGGGTAGGAAAGAGGGAACCGATTACATGGAACTGTGTGTGACCTCCTCCCTGGGGGACAGACAACCAAAAAGTGGATGAAGGGAGACGTCGGACAGGGCAAGATATGACAAAATACCCATTTATAAACTATCAAGGGCTCATGCGGGAGGGGGGAGCGGGGAGGGAGGGGAAAAATGAGGACCTATTGTCGGGGGTTTAAATGGAGAGAAAATGTTTTGAGAAACGATGTACAAATGCGCTTTACAAAATTGATGTGTGTATGGATTGGGATAACAGTTGTATGAGCCCCTAATAAAATGTTAAAAAAGAAAAAAAATAATAAAAAAAAAGAAGACCCAAAGCCTCACAACTGGACCAAATGGTAACATCATGATAAATAAAAAAAGTTGAATTTGTCAAGGCTTTTGTCTTGCTTGGATCCACAGTAAATGTTCATGGAACATGGAAACAGCAGTCAAGACACCAAAAGATGCAGTGCACTAAGTAAATGTGCTACTCAAGGCCTCTTCAGTGTACTGAAAAACAAAGATGTTAATTTGAGGACTAAGGTGTGCCTGACTCAAGTCATTGATATTTTCCATTGCCTATGGGCATTGAATAAGAAAGATCAGAGAAGACTCCATGCATTTGAATTGTAGAATTAGAGAATATTGAAAGTACCATGGACTGCTAAAAGGAGAAACAAGCCTGTCTTGGAAGAAATTCACCCAGAGTGCTCCGTAGAGGCAAGGATGGCAGACCGCATCTTACACACTTTGAAGGTTTTGACAGGAGAGACCAGACGTTGGAGAAGGACATCACGCTTGATACTGGGGAGGGACAGCAAAAGAGGGGAAGCCCCTCAAAAAGATGGATTGACACAGTGGCTGCAACAATCGACTAAAGCGGAGGAATGATTGTGATGCTAGAGCAGGACCGTTGCGTGTCCGTGCGCTGTGCACAAGGTCGCTGTGAGCGGCATACAGTTTGATGACCCCTAACAACAACAACAACAATTTAGTCTCCATAATCACCAACATGGCTACTGAACAAATGTGTGGCACAAATTAGAAAATACATTGCCAATATTGTATGGTTGTGTTGACTTTTATATGTCATATTTTAAGCTGATATTTCTATCACTGAATACACATTATGATATTATATTATGTGTCGATTGTGCTACCCAAATGAATCACCTGAAACCAAGATCATATTGTTTATGATTCCTGGTTCATACCAAACTTCCTTACTTATATTGGATCCTAGAGAAATAAGTGTCAAGCAAAATTAGAAAGAACAACAGAATTGTAATGAAAGAAATATTTTATAAATATTTCACTAAATATTCTATCAATAATTTTCAAATCTCAGAAAAATAATGTTCCAATGATTGCAATTAGTCTATTTTATGTCACTTTAGTTTTAAAAAAATAGTAATTAATCTTTCCATATATACAAGTGTTCTCTAAATTTAAATCACACTCAGTACATACTTAGCACTTATTTGATATCTTGTTCTTTTTAGCTTTAGTTTATGTTAAGAAATTAAATCTATTAACTATTTGCAATACTATAAAGTATATGTTTACCAAAGAAAGAAAGGTGTAATTAAGTTCCTTAATTTAGGTAATCCTTTATGGCAACAGCCATTGGCCCTTTTCAGTAATAATATATATATATCAGGTCAAAGACTGATTCCAAGCACCCCCAAATTAATTTAGGGCTTCCAATATCAGATGGTGGCTATGGTAAAATATGAGGCTAAAAACCCAATTTGAATAAAACGTAACTTCTGTATCAAGAATGCAGTCTGTCATTTCTATATCCTGAGAAATTGATTGGTAAACCATTTTCAAGAACACTAAGTTTTTACTTGCTTATGGGTTTTGTTTGCTTAAGAATATGCACTGCTCAGGAACCCAATTCTAAAACAATTCCCAGAACAGGTGCTTGCTGAAGACAAACCCTAGAATTAATTACATGTGTCCCTGTAATAAAGCAAGGAGGGTTTCATAATTGTCTCAAGATATGATGTACCTAATTTAATGGTTATTTATGTTAAAATATTTGAAAGACATGTAATATCCTACCACTAAGATATAATCATTACCTAAATGACTGAATTACCTAAATCGCTGAATGTTTATTAATGTTCCTTGAATCTTTATTTATGAGAAGTTCTAAGATCACTTAGTTCAGAATCCTCTGAACCTTGTGACTTCTGGTTGTCAAAAAAAGTTCTCTTCTTTCACTAAAATTCTTTGTTTGCATTTCGACACAGACTCCAGTTGCTCATTGACAAGTCCATGACATGTAGTATACATGTAAAATATGGAGTAACCAATCCAGGAGGGAAATATTCCTCTCTAGTCTACATGCCAGGTGTTTAATGCCTGTGATTTTACATAGAACATCACACACTTACAGGTCCGGATTCAACTTGGCACAGAGAAGGTCCTGATATCCAAATTTCCTCAGAAGCATGTGGGCCAGGGCCACATCACTGTTCTTGCTGCTGCTCGTGGAGGACAAAGGAATAAAAGAAGCGATTGTTAATAGGGCTCCACATGCAATTTTTGCCATGTGCTCTTACTAAGTTGATTGAAGCAAATGACTCCTATTAGCCAAGAGAGAGCCAATTTATCTGTTTTTAAGGTAAAGTCTAAGCAGCAATAACAGTAAGCATTTTCCTAAAAATAAATTTGTTATCATAGTTATGCACATTTTATAGACTTGCATTTTCAATGTAAATATTATTTGTTCAAATTCATGTAGTACTCTACCATAATCATCATATATATGTGCACACATATATGAATAATAGACATATATACTACTCCTTTTATTACTTTAAACCTTCATATTACAAACTGTCCCTTGATAATAGCTTGGAAAGTCTTAATCATTTCTTAGGATTATCGTTATGTAGTAAATTTTGCCAGTTATATTTGACATTTGATATCTGCTTCTACATGTTAAATTCAATTTGAAATTTAAGTGTCTGTCATAACCCAAATTATATGTCCTATATAAAGCTGTCTATTTAAATAGTACTAGGAATACATTAGGACATAATAAAATTATAAAACTTTATCTGAAACAGATTTTTTGTTTGATAAATAGAAGTTTTCATTAAAGTCTAGATATATCTTAGCATCGTTTTATTATTTTTTATTGGCATATAATTCGCATTCATACAATAGTTGTATGAATCAAGAAGAGTTGTGAAATTATTAACACAATCAATTTTAGAACATTTTCTTCCTTCTTTTAGTTATTGTTGTTAGCTCCTTATTTCCCCTCAACCTTACCTGTCATATCCCTAGGTAATTATTAATCCAGTTACTATCTCTACAGTTTTACATATCCTGGATTTCATATACAGAAAAAAATGTATAACATGAAATCAAAAAACAAAGAAAAGAAAATAGAGGAAAAAAACCCTTAGAAAAGAAAGCAGAAAATATTAAAAACTGGGAAAAAATAAAATGGGTCAAAATGAAGCACAAATTCTAATGCGTTATATTTTACTCTATGTCTGCCTCATTCAACTTTTCTTATGCTCTCTGACTGATAGGTTATTCACATTCCCTGACTATGGTCAAAGGCGATTCAACAGAGGTTTAATCCGTGACAGGACCTTGCCAATGGATCTTGTGCTCCAATCATCCTTAGCCTTCTGCATACTGCTTGTGCATAATGTTAACTCTGATACCGTTCTCTCGTCCAGATTTTGACTATACTGTTTCTAATCTTTGTATCACAAAGGCTACTATGGTTCTTTTGTGTGGACTTAGTTGACACCCCACTTAGATGACTTGTTTGATATCAAGCCTTTAAGAATCCTGGTTCATTTTAGGAAAAAAGTATTATCATTTTGTGGAGAATATTGTAAATCAGCCCAATAGGGTATAAGCAATTCTATTGATAGTATCAGAAGTTTAGCGAGAGCCATAACCATTGTTTAAACGTTTTTCAAATGAATTTTAAAGACTGTATAATATCACATCATGTTAATACCTTAAAACCTATTACAATATTTTCTTAATTTAGATTTTTTTTACTATTACAGCTCCCTACAATGATAGATTCTTACATATACAAAGGGGTACCCACCAAAAATTGGAACTGTGTTGGGTGAAGTGGAGCTTTTGTAGCACAACCTTTTCCTGCTAGGTGAGCATCAAGCAACTTGCTCTGCATGAGTGCACCCAGTGGCATCGCCTAGAAAGGTTCTCTCTGGTCACAGTGAATTTTTTCATAAATGCAATTTTCTGGAACCTCATTTTTAGTGATGGCTGTTTGAAGAGAACAGCACGCAGCTGTGAAATTTTGTTTCCTGCTTCGGGAAAATGCCACAAAAACTGTTGTGATGGTGACCACAGCTTACAAGGTCAGCACTATGAGAAAAACTCAAGTGTGTGAGTGGTTTTCTCCTTTCAGAAAAGGTGAAATACTGATTAATGACAAACTTCATTCTGGACAGCCGCCAACTTCCCATATGGACAAAAATGTCAACTCGTTGTGCAAATATAGTTGGTTCCACCAGGTCAGACTGTTAATCAAACTTTCTATTTAGAAGTTCTGAAAAGATTGCATAACAGTGTGCTATAAAAAGTGACATGGTTTTGCCACCACCACAATGCACATGGTCATGCAGCCATCTCAGTGCACCACTTATTGGCAAAAACCAGCATGGCCTCTCTTGCTCCATGCACCCTACTCACTTGACCTCACTCCGTGAGACCTATTTTTGTTTTCACGAATGAAGAGGGACTGGAAAGGGCAGCAATTAGAAAATGTAGAAGGCGTGAAGAAAGAAAATGAGGGAGGTTCTGTCAGCCATCCAAATTTCGAAAAATGTTTCCAAGAATGGAATCGCAGAGTTGACAAATGCTTAAGTGCAGTGGAGAGTACTTTAAGGGTGATAAGGTTGTATTGTAAAAAAAAATAATAATACAAAGCTATGGGAAAAATGTTTGGCTTTTTTGGGGGGGCTACCTCCTCGTATATAGTGCTTCTGTATATAAATTATATATTTCATATAATTATATTCTTTATATTTTTTCTGTATATAAATTATATTCTTTGAATAAAATCCTCAGCACAGTAACACTATGTGTGCTTTAAGTACATATTAAATTATAGTATTTATTTTACTGGAAATAGATTAGTAGAAGTTCATACAAGTTCAGTTGTATTGAGAATCCAGGCCATCAATACCAAGTCTCTTTCATTTGATGACACAATCAGACACAACACTGTTCAACTACCTCTGAGGAAAGAGGGGGAAGCAAACCGCATAAACTTATACATCAATTATAATAATTTAACTCGATGTAATAGATGTGAAAATGCTTTCAATCTTCCTAAATTGCACTTAATACAAATGGGGATAAATTAATTAATATTGTGGATGATGCTGTTATTATTCCTTTCTGATGTTTGGTGTCATTGAATCAGCTCTGACCCACGGACACCCTGTGTACACAGAACAAAACCCTGAGCAATCTTGTGCCATCCTCACAATTGTTCCTAGGCCTGAATCCATTGTTGCAGGCACCGTGTCAATCCATCCCTTTTCGGGACTTCCTCTCTTTTGCTGCCCCTTCACTTTACCAGCATGATGTCCTTCTCCAGGGTCCAGTCTCTCCTAACAATATGTACAAAGTATATAAGATGAAGTCTTTCCATCCTTGCCTCTAATGAGCATTCCAACTGTCCTGCTTCCAAGACAGAATTGTTTGTCCTATTAGCAGACAATGGCACTTCCAATATTCTCCAATCCCACAAGCCAAATGCATAGATTCTTTTTCCGTCTTCCTTATGCATTGTCCAACAATTACATGCCTAAGAGGCAATGAAAAATGCCATGGTTTAAGGCAGCCACACCATAGTCCTGAAAATAACATTCTTGCCTTTCGATACAGATCATGCACAGCCGATTTACCTAATGTAATGCATCTTTTGATTCCTTGACTGCTGTTTCCATGAACACTGACTGTGGATCCAAGCATGACAAAATCCTTGACAACTCCAACTTTTTCTCCATTTTTAATGATGTTATCTTTTTGTCTAGTTATGACCATTTGATCTTCTTTACTTTGAGTCCTAATCCACACTGAAGGCTGCAATCTTTGATCTTCATCAGCAAGTGCTTCAAGTCCTCCTCACTTTCAGCCAACAAGGTTGTGTCATCTGCATATTGGAGGTTGTTAGTAAGCCTTCCTCCAATCCCCATGCCACACTCTCCTTCATATAATCCAGCTTCTCTGATGATTTTTAGTGTACAGATTGAATAATTATCTTGACAGGATATAACACTGATGCACATGTTTCCTGATTTGAAACATGTAGTATTCTCTTGTTCTGTTTGCAAAACTATTCTTGATCATTGTGTACGTTCAGAAGGAGCACAAAGAACTGTTCTAGCATTCCAATTCTTCTCAAGGTTTTCCAAAGTTTGTTATGATCCACATAGTTGAATGTCTTAGCATAGTCAATAAAACACAAGGAAACATCTTTCTGGTATTTTCAGCTTTGAGCCAAGATCCATCTGACATCAGCAATGACATCAGGATGATAGTATATAGATTTATTAGCTTCCATATTTACACTATATAAATTTTTTTCTAATAGACATCCAAAGCATTTATCCCCCAAAGAAGAAGTAGTGATGTGTATTAACAGTTATAGGCATTGCTAGATAGAAATTGTGTTCTCTAATTTCTTTGGAAATAAATCATACATAAATTAACAAATGCATGTAACTTTTTTAATAACTCAAGATATGATCTTCTTTTAAAATGTGAGCAATCCATTACAACCTAGAGCAAATAATTTTCATACTGGCTTATTTAATTCAGTAGCAGTAAAAATATGGCTACCAAATATCTTTCTGAATTAGTACTAGCATTTAAATGTAGAGTAATTTAATTAGTCAGATTTGCTGCACTCTCATGTTATAAAAATTCAAAAGTAAGCCCACAATGAGAAGAAATAATAACACGTCTGTGCAGTGCATTCCTAAATGGAGAGATGACCTCTACAAATCAATTTATACTTTTCTAATTCCCTCGGTTAGCTTTCTAACATACTATATGACATTTTCTCTGTTCAAAATTTCTCAAGGCCTCCGTTACCAAAAATCAGTTGCTGTCAAATCATCCCTTGCTCATGGCAATTTCATGTGTATGAAAGTAGAACTGTGCTCTATAGAGTTTGTTATGGCTAAAATTTTGAAAGAGAGCCCACCTTTTCTTCTAAGTTTCCTCTGGCTCGACTCGACCCCTGAACTTTGGGTTAGCAACCAAGTGTGTTAATTACTTGCCTACTCAGAGACTCCCCTTGTTATTACCTGCCATGGAAAACTATTTAAGTACATCTCTTTGTGACCCCTGCTGACATTTTCTATCAGAACACCACACCCAGCTAAGCAGAACCAATTTGTGATTGTGTATTTTTGCCTGTGAGGTGCTGACCCCTGTGAAATGCTCTCCCTAGAGATGTTTTCCA